GCTTTCTGAAATCAACTTTTGATCTTACTAGGCATTTCCTGAGGTGTCCACTCTTCATCCTGCCTGGCCAGGGCAGGTGAATAGCTATCACAATCAGGAATATCACCTTTCACTTACTTCGAAATTATCACGATCGGATTTTCTACTGTATTAAACTATTCTTATTCTATTAGCAAGACAACATATTCCTTACACTATCAGATCAGAAATTTTTCAATCTATGTTGGCATGTACACCTTTTATGACACTTTGGACTTCGGTTTATGCCGAGAATCGGCTAAACCTTAGCTCTGATACCATTAAATGTAACACCCCAACCCGTATCCGATCCGGATACGAGTCCGAAGTGTCACATTGACTTTTCAAACATTTATTCGTATAAAATAGTGAGTAATTTAAAAACTTTGATAACATTTAACTTATTCAAAATGTTTACAAAATATATATCAGAGTTCATACAATTTATGTCTTTAGACTACATGCCAACTACACTCTATATACAGTACATATATTTTCTGATCTGACATTTGGTAAGGAAAACTGACCTGTCTTGCTTCGCATTACTCTTTACTCTTCTCGAAACCTACGTGTGAAACAATCACACGCTAAGTCGAAGACTTAGTGAGGCATAACGACTTATAATGCACTTCATAACATATATCAATACATGCATGTTTTGTTCTATCATGTTATACCAATTCCATGCATTCTTCGTATCATATAAAATCATATCAGATTAATTACAGTAAATACATACATACACATAATTCATCATTAACAGTTTATCATGTAATCACATACTTTTATTGTTAACCTTTTCAATCAAACACTATACACACACAACATCATATGGTTCACGTAACACATTTCAAACCACTTATAAACCCATCGTATACATATCACATTCAGTATGCTTGTTTAATCACTTTATTAGCCCATGTACACTAGTGAGAACTTAAGGTATGTGAGTACATTGAGGTTGTGCACACATATGCTGTCACCACAGCTCGATCAATGTCCCGAAGGACCAGTCCATAGATTCCGAAGAACCTAGGTAATCAGTCCATATGTCCCGAAGGACATAGGTAAACAGTCCATATGTCCCGAAGAACATAGGTAAACAGTCCATATGTCCCGAAGAACATAGGTAAACAGTCCATATGTCCCGAAGAACATAGGTAAACCCTCGACCCTTGGCATGCCAACTATACCCCTAGCTCTCATATCACATAACATGGGCATTATCATTTATAACAGTTCACATTACTAATTCATATTCTTTCTCTTATAAACACATATCTTTTCTTTTCAGTCACGTATCACATGTACGTGTAATCATTGATCTCATAATCACATGTTCCTTCTCTTCTATCACATACCACATGTATGTGTAAACAAATATCTAATATCATATGTTGCATGTAATCACATAGATCGTATCATATAGTTTCTTTCACATATACATGTAATCACTTAGTCTATTTTCATGTAATTATTTTCACTTCTCATATGATTTTATATTCATATCTCACACAGCTCATATCACCTTGCATTGTTTCATATAAACATAGATGTCATATCTTGTTCGCATATTTTCCATATAACTCATAGTTCTTTCACATAGCTCATTATCATATTTTCATATCATATATCTTGTAAGAGATTCTTATATCATCATAACATATCACATATTCACATCAACCATATAATACATATATACAATAATATGTCAACACATATAAATCATACACGTATATACTTCTATTTATGAATTCATGCATTTTACTATGGAAATAGACTTGTTGCAAGTCTTATTTCCATTTAACATCATATAATACTAATATGCACTCACCTGGCCTCACTAGTCCATTCCAATCTCTTATCTTCCCTTTTTATCGATCTTACTTGTCAATGATTCCGGAACTTGGTTAGGCTCTGAATCTACATAATTATACATTTTAAGACAATCATTAGATACCTACACCTTGTAATTGGATACTAGCAACTTAAACGAACTTATTAAACCAATATGCACATTTTTCCTTTAGGGGGAATCGGTTCCCTACTATGGGGGTATCGATTCCCTAATGACATTCTGGAAATGTTGTTCGTTTGAAGGGGTATCGGTTCCCCTTGAATGGGTACCGATTCCCCTTGCCCAGAAATCATATTTTCAACCCGAAAATTACTTCATTTCCACTCAAACACTTCATATATCATCCCCTTTTCATTCTTAACTCTAGTACACATACTTAAACCAATCTATATTCATTTATTTCATCTTAAACCTCAAAATCTTATCTTCCATATGAGATTCAAAAATCATACCAAATTTTCAATGTGTTCTAATTCCAATTCTAACACTTCATACTTCTTAATTAGATTGATGACAAGTCAAATTCATCCATAAAACTTCAACAACCATACCATATCAAAATTTCATCTTAAAACTCATATTGCAAATTCCTTCATAATTCCTTTATCTTATTGTTTAAATCCCATATAAGCTTTCCTTAAGCTTATTTAATACCCAAAGAATCAAAACTAAGCTTAAAACTCAAGAATTAACCAACTGAAATTAAACTTACATTTGCCTTGCTCTCCCACGTATGAAGAAGAAGAAAGGAGAAGAGAACTCTGGATGTTTCTCCAAATTCCCACGTTTTATATTACCTTAAAAAGAAATATAAAAATCTTTCTGGTCAAATGACCATTTAACCCTTAATTTCCTTTAATAATTACTAAATAACCTTCAATATATATTCAAATAATCATTGAACTATTTCATTCTTCTACTTTAGTCATCAAATTCTGAAACTTTACAATTTGATCACTAACCCGGTATTGAGGATGTTACAATAAGTGTCATATGCTTCTCTTACGAAATGTCATTATTTCGTGTATCAGAATTTGTGAGGCCATTGGAAGACATACAACACAACGCATATGTGGTTAGTTTACGAGAAAAAAATATGAGAGTGCAGGTTATTCTAAACTTTCAAATGTCTGTGTGCGCACATCATTGATGTTGTTGTTTCTATTCAGATACCTTACATGAGATTCGTTGATCGGGTTTACTTACTTGAAACTATATTCAAGTTTTATGAATATGAGTCCCCTCTCATTGAAAATGAATGAGATCCTGATGAAGCTGGTGATGAACCTACAATATGACCATATTATGCAATACGACGAAAAAAATCGATCGACTACGATCAACCCGATTTTTTTGTAACGAGGATTTGGTCGAACATCAAGAAAAAACCGGACAACCGAAATTATGCTCTATATATAGGAATCCCGAACAAACTGAGAACAAATGTCCCAATCGCTTAGGCCTATATATCATTTAAATGGTTTTTTGCATTATTTCTTTTTTAATTAACAACACATATTACTTAGTTTTCAATTTCTTTTGATTTCTTCATACACCAAATCATGCATTCCAACCTTTTCCAATAAGATTTTTACCCCTATTAAAATATCTCGTATGTGGCAAAGTTAGCCTTAACATAAATATAAGTTGCAATATTATACGTCTAAGCATATAAATTCTGAAATCACTTATATTTACAAGCCACAAATAACACTCCAATATGTTTATCAAACCATTTTTTTCTTCTTCCTTCACAAAACTATAATTTCTAACCATTTTCATTGTCATTTTTACCTCGCTTAAAATGTCTTATATATGATGATATTATAATCACATTAAAGATAAATTACAACACTACGAGTTTATAATTAAAATTAAAAAAAACTCAGTTTCCCACCCGGAAATAGTATCTTAACAAGGCTATGGATAGTAAAGGGAGGGTAGAGAATTTATTGTCCTCGTGCTTTGTAGGTTGCGAGGTTCCCCATAAATCTTGCGATATTTTAGATCATAAAAGCTACCTCGTGTTTTGTAATGTGCGATGTCATTTTATTCAATTGTTTTATTGGCTTACTTGAAAAATACGCCCACGTCAGATGTATCTCGTGTGTTGGAGGGCACGAGGATTTAGCACTATGTTTGCATGTCACTAGGTCGTCTGATGTGGACGATTTGAGGTTTATTCTTTCAAATAATTTTTGGAGGGTCTTATTTCTTTAAATAATTATTTATTTGGGATTTTTATAATAAAATTGCCATCAAAATATATGTTGAAAATTATTTTACGAAAACAAACATTTTGGACGAAACTTTTTTAATTAAAATAGAGAAAATTATATGTTTAGTAGTTAAATTATTATCTTTATTCTATTTTAGTATATAATTTTTTTTAAATCACACTTAATATCTATTTTTTGTTTTATTTCAATATTTTGTTATCAAAAACTTAAAAGAGTTGAATTTTTTTGTTAGTAGATTATATTATTCATCACTTAATTATTTTATCACTTCAAAATTTGGATTTATTTTAATTTTTAATTGTTATGCAACATTTACATTGTTTAAATCGAACAAATCTATAATATAAGAAACTAAATATACTTAATTTTTTAATTGATAACCAAAGTTGGTTAGACAAAAAAAACAAAAGGGGCTATTCTTAGAATTTACCCATAAATAAACGATCGCAATGAAATGCTAACCTAAAAGACACGTGGAGATCATCCGTACAATAAGAATTGGCCTGAGACAAGGGGAATTTTCTCGTGCAGCGAGCTTCTATTGTGTTTTGTCGGTACATGACAGGATTTATCACTGTCACGTCCAGCCACGTTAAGATAGATTTTCTTAGACTTATATACACTTTTACTCCTGAATTATATTTTTTTTACCGAATTTTCCCTTAAAATAAATTTTTTATACATTTTATCTCTTCAACTATAAATCGTTACATCTTTTACCTTAAATTATAAATACAGTTAAAAATTAAATTCATAAATCAATCAGAACACGTAATGACATTTCTTAATATTTATTTTTATTTAAATGAATAAAAATATATTAAATACAATTTATTTTATAGTATGCCAAAAATACCGTTTTTCCCATTCCCCTCCATCGTATCCCCGCCATCAACACTACTCTCCTTCCCAATCCCATCGCTTCTGTAAATTCTCAGAGATTTCATTGAAAATAAAGCTTGTCAAAACAGAGCTTTCCAATTTCACTGGTAAACTTTCTTCCCTTCCCTTCCCTTCTTTTCTTTTTTTTTTCTTTGAAAATTAATTGTTGGCTATTACCCTCGCAACAGAATCCATTATTTAAAGAACATGCTCTGTTTGCAGTATAAGTTCCCTACTTTTTCTAAACATAAACCAGGTTTTAATGGGTTTACATTTCTCTCTTTTTTTTTGGCAGGAACAACAAAAGAAAAAGTGGTAGCAACCAAAACCAACAAGCGCGAAACTTGTGTCAAAAACAAACCAAGATAATACGTGTTCGATATTGATTTATGTTGTTGTTCTTGATGTGTTTGATCTTATGTCGCACCCAAGAGAAATGAGTATTTTTTTCACCTATTCAATTTTGTTGAATTTATTTTCTTTAGTTTGATTCAAGTTTAAATGAGTATTTTTTTAAAAATTTTGTTTTACGGGATTCATAAATTCTGCCATTGATGGACCTTGCAAGCTCCTTAACAATCATATTTCAAGTTTTGTTTGTTTTTGCTTTTGTTTGATGTAACTTTCAATGGATATTTTTCTAATTCTCTTCTTTTCTTGGATTCCCCTGTTTATTCATGTTTGAGTTTTTTTTTTTTTATAAATTCTGCCATTGATGGATCTTTCAAGCTTATTCTGACTTGTTTAACTTGTAAATTTGTATTGCAGATCGGTACTGGAAGGTGGCATGAATGATGGTGATGCAACGATCGGGATGGGTTTTCTTTTCTAAAGATTAATGGGTTTTTGCTCTCGTTGATGGTGATGATACGGTGTAGGGGAAAGGGGAAAAAGGGTATTTTTGGTATACTATAAAATAAATTTTATTTAATATATTTTTATTTATTGATATAAAAAATAAATATTAAGGGATAATGTGACGTGTTCTGATTTATTTTTAGGACAAATAAAATAACAATTTATAGTTGAGGGTTAAAATATTTTAGGGGTAATTTGATAAAAAAAAATATAATTTAGGGGCAAAGGTGTATTTAAGCCATTTTCTTTATATCTCTTTGTATCGTTCTGCTCTTTTTGGTTCTGTAAATTCTGTCACTGATTCTGGGCTTTTTCATCTAATTTCATGTGACTGTCCATTCACTCTGTTGGGAAAACGATTTATTTCCCATACGAACGTAGTTTTAAAATTGACCTAAAATGTTAAAATTAAAGCCACCAAAGGTTGTACAGTAGATAAACTTGTCAAACTATTGAATATTGAAACACAATGGAAAAGAATCGAATAAAAAACAATAAAGGAGAGAACACACTAAATTTATGAGGTTCGACGAGAATATCGTCTACTCCTCGGGCACCACACCGGATGATAACTTCACTATATCGCCAATATTATAACAAATGAAATTCTTTGGAATTCTCAAAGTGGGAGAATGAAGAATACAAGAGGAAGAGATAACTTGTTTTTGGGATGATTTCTAATGGAAATACTTAGGCCTATTTATAGTTGAGTTTCAAGAACAATATGTTCAAAGTTTGGCCACCTACCAAAGAATTTTTCAATGTGTACAAGTTAGCCACCAAATATGAAATTCACATGTTCAAAGTTTGGCCACCAACCAAGATGAAATTTCCAATAAGTTGGCCACCAACCAAGATGAAATTTCCAACTTGTCAACTTAATTTCTAGACAAATCTAACAAATTTCCACCTTGGCTTGAAATTACCAAGCCTACTCAACTTCTTCAACTCCCCAAATTTGTAGTGCCTCTAATTGCGCTCACAAGCGCCGCACACCCGAAGGTGTTCATACTTTCAGGATGTTAATCAAGTTCAAACAATGATTGAACTTGATTACTGTTACCACCTTGGTCATCATATCTGCAGGATTTTCTGATGTCGCAATTTTCTGAAGTAGAATCTTTCCTTCTTCAAAGATCTCCCGCACAAAGTGATACCTCACGTCGATATGCTTAGCCCTTGAATGGTAGACTTGATTTTTCACTAAGTGAATAGCGCTCTGACTGTCACAATAGAGACTAATGTGACTTTGAACAACTCCCAAGTCTTCCATCAACCCGTTAAGCCAAATTGCTTCCTTTACAGCCTCTGAAACTGCCATGTATTCTGCATCTGTAATAGACAAGGCCACCGTAGATTGCAATGTAGACTTCCAACTTACTGGGGCTTTAGCAAGAGTAAACAAATACCCAGTAGTTGATCGACGCTTATCCAAATCACCAGCATAATCGAAATCAACATATCCACCATACACTGACCAAGTGCTTCATCCTGTTCAAAAACTAAACCAACATCCACGGTTTGTTAGAGATACCGTAGAATCCATTTCACAGCTTGCCAATGTCCTTCTCCAGGATCATGCATGTACCTGCTCACAACTCCAACTGCTTGTGAAATGTCAGGACGCGTACACACCATTGCATACATCAAGCTCCCAACTGCATTAGCATATGGAACTTTTGCCATATACACTCGTTCTTCGTTAGTTTTAGGAGATAATTGAGAACTAAGTTTCAAATGAGAAGCCAATGGGATACTTACATGTTTGGTATTTTCATTCATGCCAAAACATTGTAATACCTTTCTCAGATACTGCTTCTGTGTTAAACAAAGCTTCCCTCTCTGTCTATTTCTGCTTATCTCCATACCAAGAATCTTCTTGGCCTCACCTAGATCTTTCATCTCAAACTCTTGATTCAACTGAGCCTTTAATTTGTCTATCTCATTTTGACTCTTCGAAGCGATCAACATATCGTCAACGTACAAGAGAAGATAAATGAAAGATCCATCTTTGAGTTTTTGCAAATACATACAATGATCATATTTGCTTCTAGTATACTTTTGCCTCCTCATAAAGCTATCAAATCGCTTGTACCACTGCCTCGGAGATTGCTTCAATCCATATAGCAATTTGTTCAGCTTACAAACCCATTTCTCACAACCACCATCTTTGTATTCTCCTGGCTGTGTCATATAGATCTCATCTTCTAAATCACCGTGCAAGAAAGCCGTCTTTACATCAAGTTGAGCTAGCTCCAAATTCAACTGTGCTACCAAGACCAACAATATTCTAATGGAGGAATGCTTCACAATAGGGGAAAATACTTCATTGTAGTCGATTCCCTCCTTTTGAGCGTAGCCTTTAGCTACAAACCGTGCCTTTTAGCGAACATCTTTCTTGTTATGAGATCCATCTTTCTTTACAAATACCCACTTGCATCCAATGGCTCTTTTACCTTTCGGTAATTGTGTCAGTTTCCAAGTGTCGTTCTTTTGGAGAGATTGCATTTCTTCATCCATGGCACTTTTCCACTTATCACTTTCCAAGCTTTGTATTGCTTCTTGGTAAGTGATAAGGATATCATCATCAACAACTGGAAGAGCATAGGCCACCATATCAACAAATCGAACAAGTCTACGAATTTCTCTCCTTGGCCTTGTAACTGCAAGTGTTTCTGGTGTCTCCAATGGTTTTTGGGTTTGAACCTCTTCATCTTCTGATTCTTCTATTGGAGTTGAAGAATCAGCTGCATCAACTTCTGGGATCATCATCTGCTGAAACTCTACCTGTTTTGGAGTATGCTCCACCTGCTGCGGAGTACTACTTGTCTAGACAGCTTCACTTGTTACCTTCTTTACTAGGGCAGATTCATCAAAGGTAACATCTCTGCTACAAATTATCTTCTTGGTGTCTAAACACCAAAGGCGAAATCCCTTCACTCCATGGGTGATTCCCATAAAGAGAGCCTTATTTGCTCTCGGATCAAGCTTGGATTCCTTCACATGATAATAAGCAGTGGATCCAAATACATGTAAGGAATCATAATCAGTAGCAGGTTTTCCAGACCATACCTCCAATGGTGTTTTTCCTCCTATCGCTGATGACGGCAGACGATTAATGAGATGGCCAGCATATGTCACAGCCTCAGCCCAAAATGCCTTGCCTAACCCAGCATTAGACAACATACATCGAACTTTCTCCAATAGTGTTCGATTCATACGCTCTGCCACCCCATTCTGTTGTGGTGTATGTCTAACAGTGAAGTGTCGAACAATACCATACTCATGGCAAACGTCAAAGAATGGGTCACTTTTATATTCCCCTCCATTATCCGTCCTAAGACGTTTGATCTTTCTACCAGTCTGGTTATCGATCATATTTTTCCATTTCAGGAAAATTTGAAGCACTTCATCTTTAGACTTCATCGGATACACCCAAACTCTTCTGGAAAAGTCATCTACAAAAGTTACAAAATAATGGTTTCCTCCCAAAGACGATGTCTTTGAAGGACCCCATACATCTGAGTGAATATAATCTACAATACCTGTTGTATTATGTATAGTGGTGCCAAACTTCACTCTCTTCTGCTTTCCCAGAACACAATGCTCGCAAAAGTTCAATTTGCAAGCCTTTGTACCTTTCAACAATCCTTTCTTTGCCAGAATTTGCAAGGATTTCTCTCCAGCTTGTCCCAACCGCATATGCTACAACTGGGTTGCATCCAAATCATCACCTCCGGAAGTTGCTGCAACTGCTCCAATAATTGTACTACCTTGGTAGTAATACAAATTATTTTTCCTGATGCCCTTCATCATCACAAGTGCGCCATATGTGACTTTTAAAACTCCATCTCTCATAGTGACTACTGAGCCTTTGGATTCTAAGGCTCCCAACGAGATGAGATTTTTCTTCAAACTGGGCACGTATCGGACATCCGTCAGAACTATGGTTGATCCATCTTGATTCTTCAATCGAATTGAACATATCCCAACAGTTTTACAGGCATTGTCATTGCCCATATAAACAACTCCTGCATTTAGTTCCACTAAATCGGAGAACCACTCCCGATTAGGGGACATATGATAGGTACAACCCGAATCTAATATCCACTCATCGGAATGGAATGTTGTTGAAGAAGCAACCAATGATATGTCAGAGTCATGTGCATCATGCTCTGCAACATATGCATCTGGAGCAGCTTTTCCTTTCTTCTTCAGCTTCGGACAATCTTTCTTCCAATGGTCTTTCTCATGACAAAAGGCACATTCATCTTTTCTCAGTCTGGACTTCGACTTTTATCTCCCTCTCCACTTTGGATTTTGACTTTTCGAGCGACCTCTTGCCACCATGGCCTCTGCTGCTTCGTACTTGCTCTCCTTCTTGGTTTTCTTCCTGAGTTCATAACTATACAAAGCAGCAGTTACATCTTTAAGGGTAACATTATCCTTACCATGAAGTAACGTTGTCTCAAGGTGCTCAAATTCATTTGGAAGAGATGACAACAATATCAAAGTCAAATCTTCATCTTTGAAGGTTTCATCCATGCCCAATAAGTCTTCCACTAGCTCATTGAACGCAGTGATGTGTTTATTCATACTGGTGCCTGGTTGATAATCAAATCTGAACAATCTTTTCTTCATATGGAGACGATTCTGAGAGCTTTTCTTCAGGAATTTTTCCTCCAAAGCTTTCCACATCTTACTTGCAGAAGTCTCGTTCTTGTAGCCATACTTCTGCTCCCTGGAAAGACAAGATCGAATCGTGCTGCACGCCAAACGATTGATTGTTCCCCATTCTTTCTCCTCCATATATTCGGGTTTTTCTTCCTTAATGGCGATGTCTAGACCTTGTTGGAATAAAGTGTCTAACACCTTGCATTGCCACATGCCAAAATGACCGGATCCATCGAACAACTCCACCGAGAAATTTGCATTTGACATCACCCTCTTCACCGGTCCAGATGAAGAGCTTGATGTCTCAACTGATCCGTATTTTGGCATTTTAATTCTAACGA